ATTTAGTCATTGGAATGGTTCATTTATTTATTACAGGTATTTATATAGCGCCAACAATTTACAGAGCACTTTACATAGTTCCCATTTAAATCATCTTGAGGAGCTTGCGGTCCCTATCTCACATGCATAATAGGACCAATTTAGACAGGAGTCAATTAACCTTCCAGCATGTCTTTGGAGTGTGGGAGGAAAACGGAGTACCTGGAGGAAACCCACACAAGCACAGAGAAAATATGCATGCACCACACCATGCAGATAGTGTCCTGACTAGGACTTGAACCTGGAACCCACAGTGCTGCAAGGCAGAACTACTAACCATTTAGCCGCTGTTTTTTACTTTTAATAATCTTGAGTTCCCATAATGCAGTGCAGACTTTCCTTTCATTGCTATGTTTCGGCGGAAGGCAACCTTGGCACTACATGATCGTTGGCACTGTGGAACTACAAGTGTCATTATTGCATTGCAAGACGCTGTCAGCCACTACTTCTAGTCAGAGGGGCCTCAGATTCTTTCTAAATCCCAAGCAGTTGCAGTGCCAAGGATGCCTTCCCCTGCTATACGTAAATTTAGCTGATATCCAATATCTTCCAGGATGTAACAACATTAAAAGAAAATGCTTTTTGCAGTCAGCATTGCGCATGACGCAGTGATGGGCGGACACTTATATGCTTTCCCTGTTCTACACTCTGGTTAGTTTGCTGTAACTAGAGGCATTTTTATCTTCCTTTGATAGCAGTGAGGGTTGCGGTACCCGTGTAGGTGATTGATACATGTGAGTGGATTGTGTTGGACGGCAGTGTTGTCATTTACTGTACATACACAATGGGAAGTTTTCTTTTCAAGGAGTTTTTTTTAGCCACAAGTCTTTTTTATGTTTTGTTGCTAATAAAGCTATTTGTAGCCAGTGGGTCCTGTGGCCTTTTCTTAATCCCCAGTTGTTACATTGTTGAGGTGAACTGGCTTGCTTACAGATGGAGCTCAGTGAATGCCAATTCTTGACTCCCACTCCACATATGAAGCTGTTTTTATACATGTTTTCAATATTTTCACGAGTGTTCAGTCCTGGATAAGCTGCTCTCACAATGCAATCAAATAGCAGTCCATTTGTTTCCAGCAGTATCCTGCTTGTCAGATGAGAACTCCTTCCAGTTTTCTGTACCAGGAAAGTGCTTACTTGGCCCTTGCTGTGGTGGGAGTGCGTCAATGACAGCTGACTGCGCACTCTTCTATAAAGCCGACACTATCTCTTGCTTTATAGGAGGATTTCTGCCTCTTGCTGGGACTTGATTAAGTCGGAGGGAAGGGCAGGTCAACCTGAGGTTACAGAAAAATGACTCCATTATATGTGAATGTGTCATTATGTACATGTACACAAGCATGCATCTGTGTGAGCGGCAGCTGAAGAACATGCTTCATGCATTTTCTTGACCTGGAGCTAGTGCTGGCTTTTAATGAATGCATGCTTTGTGTTGGGTATGGTATACAAGACGTATCTCACAGCTATATTTCTGGAAGACAATGCCTCTTCACATGTGAAAAGGGGGAATACACCACATGTTGTACTCTCAGTGCAGTCTCCTTCTGGTATCTTGTGCGTAAGCAGCCAAAAAATAACAAGATATAAATGGGACAGCTCATTAAAAGATAAAATCTTGCCTTTGCTGCAATGTTTACTTTCAATCCAGAGATTTCCTCTGCAGTACTTTTTTTCTGCCACTAGATGTCCTCAGTCTGATGACCAGCATTATTCAACTCCCTTCTTCTGAGCCCAGGTCGTCTTGGACCTGCCCCCAGCCTGTGATTGGACACTTAGACCGGTCCCTTCAGCCTCTGCTCCAGCGGTCTAAGGTCATGTGAACCATCTGCCAAGGATGCCAAGGGACATTACATCGCTTGAGCGGGGGGAGGAGACAGGCAGCGGTGTAAGAGCGGGCGAGTATAACTTTGTGGTTTTAGCTCCCTACACAAAGCGAGCTCTTAACCCTTAAAGTGAGGGGATGGCATGCCAAACAATCTCCTAGCAGTTTTTTGTACTTAAGTCCCACGTTAATTGTCATGTGAACATGAGATAAGGGGAGATCATTCAGTGGGGACTCCTATTCCAGCGACAACAGGCACACCATAACTGCATGCATCGCATGCGTTTTGACGCGTTCAGGTGCATTTTGTTTTTTAACCTCAAAATGCAAATTAGACCATTGTCACTTCCGTCTTCCACATTTTTCTTTCTGCACCCTATTCATGGTGGAAATCCTGGTACAGTTTGGCAATGATCTCCCACCACCACCCCATCTTCTGCCGATTATTTTTGTAATGTGTCGTAGAGGTGTGGACTACGAGTACTCGCCCAAATACTCGGTATCGGCACTGATTCTAGTATCGGTATCAGTGCATCCCTAGTTTTCACCATTCTCTACTCTATCCCAAACAATTGTTTTAAATGGCTATTCATAGACTTAGGTAGGTAAACCTGGCTTCTATAGATTACTGTACATTGGCTGCACCATTGTTCATTTATTTACAGAATAGATCCGATGGTGGAGAGTGTCCCCTCATGCTAGTTCTAATGACATTGACAGAGGATATCTTTCTGGAAATAATTTGAACTATTTCACTGTGTATAGTCGAAGGGACAATTGACACCCCAAAGGCAGCCGCTCATCTGCTTCACAATTCATTTGCGGAATAGATGTGCAGGAACCGTTGCTGGCCATTTCAATTTGTCTCCTCTGGAGCGTATGTGTCATTTCGTTTTATGAGGGGAAATGTTGGCGGCTCTGAAATAAAAATGTGCCGTCCTGGCTTGTATCTGTTTATTCCTGGAATGGTACATTTTAATAATGTAATGACATCAGGCACGCTGGGCTATTTTCGGTCCTATCATCGGACTTTTTTTTTTTTTTATTATTCCCCCTGTCAAAATCCAACACGTGGCCAGAGGTTCAGTGAGCTATTGAAATGTTGTCTTTAATAGACGCTAAGCTTCTCTTGCGCCGGTCACTCAGAATCGCACCACTGCAATTCTTTCTCATTAAGCTGCTGTTTTATCGTCTGTTTGTTTAGTCTTCCAGGCATCCATCTTTGTCTTTGGCATCTCGTTTATGTAATATGTGGGGATCACTCTGCATTTTATTACCAGCGAAGCAATTCTTTTCCTGGTAAATGGCTAGAACTGGATGTCGGGCTGTTCCTTTTCTTTCGACACAGCAGCTGCATACCTTTTGTGTGTGTTGCACTTGTGTAATGTGACATAATAGATAAACCGCCTGGCTATGATTTTCTAGGTATGCCTTACCTAAGGCATGTAGGCCAGACACAACAACAAAGGACATAACTACTACCGTGTTTCCCCGAAAATAAGACACTGTCTTATTTTTTTTTTTGCATGAAATAAGACACTAGGTCTTATTTTAGGGGGATGTCTTACCTGGCTGGGGGAGGACTGGACGAGGTTCCGGAAGGCGGCGTGCTGTTGCCGGTCCCGGTGTCGGCGGATGACATGTCGCTTCCATCGTGCGTGCGTGAGCTGCGGCCGGCGGGCGTGTGGGCGGGAGCTGAGGCTAAGATAGCGCTAGGTCTTACTTTCGGGGTAGGTCTTACTTTCGGGGAAACACGGTACTACATACTACTTAACATACTACAGGCAGTCCCCGGGTTACGAGCAAGATAGGGACTGTAGGTTTGTTGAATTTGTATGCAAGTTGGAACAGGTACATTTTTTAAGTGTAACTCCAGCTCAAAAATGTTTTGTTTGTTTTGGATAGCATTTGGAAGGGTTTACCCCCTGTAAAGTTTGTTTTGCTGTGTGTGCCCCTGTTTTTTCACCTCACTTTCTGCCCCTGTGACAATTGGATTTTGAAAATTTTGGGTTGTCACGGAAACAAGGATTGGTGATTAAAGCTTCAGTGGAGACACCTTTTTCCCATGATCACTCTTAACGCAGTGAATTTCCCTTCCTAGGGGTGGATTTCCTTTCACTTCCTGTTGTCTCAAGGACAGGAAGCGAGATTAAATTTTTATAATGAGGATACAGACAGCAGTAAAAACCTCAGTGACCCGGAAGAAGTGGTGGGCATCCCTCGTCTGCACATCTAACAGCTTCCTGTAATGTACGTACAGTACTACGAACCAGACCCAAAAAGGCGGGCACTCCTCATCGACACGAGCACGGTAGAGTTACAACTACCCCTGCTGTAGAGTAATAGCCCCGTTTGTAAGTAGGAGTCGTATGTAACTCGGGGACTGCCTGTACTATAGCTATTGAACCATTCAGGCCTAAAATGTATCTTTTTTAATAGTATAATAATTGCTACCTTTTTAGTCCTCATTCACACAGGGTGTGTTGCCCTGTACAGTGTGGAGGGCCAGTTTCTGATGCAGCTGTAACTCTATCTAGACACAGGAGCTGTGCACCCTCACACATTGCTTCCCACAGCTCTGAGTTTTCACAGCCGCACACAGACGGTGTATGGACCTGGATCCATCATGTCTGTGTCCGAAGCTGTACACCATCTGTGTGCTGCTGTCAGAACTCTTAGCAGTGTATGAGGGTGCATAGTACAAGTCCCATGAGGCATTGCAACACTGACAGTTACAGGCATGACTCCCAGAGGAAGAAGTATGTTGGGATTTGTAGTTTAAGCACAGGGTTAGAGTTGCCTACCCCTGGCCTAGAATATCTCACCTTGTGTAGTGAGTTATAAGAATTTAAAGTCCATCCCTGACATAGAATATCACTAAAATGAGACCACTGGGGCTGCTGATCTCACATTCAATATGGCACCCAGCAGCAGTTTCCCCAGTCATCTTCCAGGACAGCCATCGAGATATAGGCTCTGCCTACAGCTTTTGAATGTCTACACAAGGAAGGTGTTTACAGGTAAATAACATGCGTGTAGTCCACCAGACTCACAGCTTAACACAACTTTGCAGAGTAAACCTAGTAACCTTGTTTTTCTAATGCATTTCTTTTAATGATTTCTTTTCTTCCCTTGCACAGATCCTGGCTGGGCTTCCATTAACCGCGGGGTGCTGATATGTGATGAATGCTGTAGCGTACACAGAAGTTTGGGCCGACACATCTCAATCGTGAAACACCTCCGACACAGTGCATGGCCATCATCCCTATTACAGGTGTGTAAAATTGAAAGATTAGTTTTTGTTTCTTGTAGAATTGAACCATGCTAATACGTACCTGGTATAGCCATAGTTCACGATTGCCTGGGGAAAATGGGGTGTAAAGCTGTTAGAACTTTGTTTACATTTTTCCATATTCCTGAATGAAAGTGTGTGCTGGTAATTAAGAATACTGCTTAAACCTAAACTCAGGGCATAACCGCTTTCCCTTAGGAATATATTCTTCAATAGCCTTAAAGGATATAAATCTACTTTGTGTGCAACAAATGCCTTTTCAAACTCGGATACTACCTTGTTAAAGCAGCAGTGATGTCATCATTGGGCTGCACAGAGCCTGTACAGAGAGCAGAGCTGGAGGGGACGGGCAACCAGTAAGCCCCACCCACTACAGGGTGCCTGCAGAGAACTACAGGAGGGGGGCGGATGCAAGACCACTCACCTTGTACAAGGAGAAAGAGCAGCAGTGACTGGTCTTTATTATAGGAAGCTCTTGCACAAAGGCAAATTTTCACATAGATCTGGAAGAAATGCTTTGTGCATATCAAGGTTCGAGTAAGAATACACATGCCTCCTGGTTTTAGACCAACGCTGGACAAATCCCAGGAGCCAGGTCGCCAATGCTCCTTAAAATTTACAGTTGGCGCTAACTGTTTAGGTTTTTTCTAGTTGTTGTCAATGTAGCTGACACCTAGCAAAAATCCTGCCAGCCTCTGGATTGGTCAGACTGGCTTTTAAATGTTGATTTGTCTACCCCTGATTTAGACAATGTTTGCTTATCATAGAGTTCAGCTTTAGGTTTATGCAACAATGAGGGCAGCGTTCTATTACCAAATAGGTGTTAGCAGGGTTTGGGTGTTGCTGATTTGTTATCCAGGAATGTTTGGAAAAATATTAGCTTTACTTCCCTCTCATTTCTGCATCCTTTCCCTTCCTCTCAGCAGGAAAGATTCATAAATAACAATATATATAAGACAATTGTCGATGGTTTCTTCCTTTTAAAAGGCTGCTTTTCACTACATCCTGACTGCAGAGATGGGCAACAGTAGATCTTCAACTGGTGTGAAACTATAAGGGCCTGTTCACACTAGCCAGTCACTCTGAACACATGGCTGCTGATGTGTAATGACGGACACAATGCTGATGTGCCGATCTCGGCTCATTGTACTGTTTTTACCTTTTTTTTTTTTAATTAGACCATCGCAAGTTGTCTTGTTTCTTTATTGGGCCTGTGCCGGAAAAAGCAGCAATCCCAGCCCCTATGCTTCAGGTATAAATGCCCCCCAAGTCCCAGCATTCATCGCCTGTTTCTGTCTGACTTTTTATATCCGCAATATATGTTTCTGGGTTTTTCGTGCTGGAACTTGTAGTTACAAAGGGGCAGAATCTTTGTTTACCTGTATCGCTACCTCTGAGCACCCTGCATGAGTCCACCCCGCTTTATTCTTTTATTTTTCTATTCCAGTCACTAAGGACTGTTGCTATTGACCTGGAACTAATTAAAGTCTTTGTAAGAAATGACAGCCAGCCCAAGTTTTTTTACACTGGTTGCAGTGACCTGTACTAGTCTCTGAAAAGGTATGGCATTGTGCAATCGTGCACAATGATCACGTGCCCCTGTAATCTGTGTGGCAAGATGTATTGGCTGCCGTGTCGCAGAGACCTCATTTAGTTGGGGGTCAGTACTGGTTTGTATACTATATGTGATTTATCTAATAAAACGCTACGTTATTTTATAAATGGTTGTAATCTCTCTTGTATGCAAGATCAGCTACAGGAGTTTTTATAACCTTGACTTCAAATTTTATAGTAAACGCTAATGTTTAATTCTCAGTGAAACCTAGATCAGGAAGAGAGCAGTGCTTACTCCAGCTGCATAGTTGGCTACAGATTATACTTAAGGAAAGAATAGCTTGTGTAAATGGTTTTATGGACGCCCTTGCCTCTTTTGTTACTTTCTAAAGGACAGAAAGGAGACAGGTTCAGTGATCAGTCTAGAAGTTTATAGTTATACTAGTGCTTTAAAGCAGAACTCTGGGCAAACAGGTTCTTAACCTTTTGCAGTGGGGCTACCCCTCTACTGCAAGGGTTAAGAGCTCATTTTTGTCTAGGTGCTAAAAAAAAAGAAATAAAAGTTATACTCACCCAAGCCACGTAGCTGGCTGGCTGCTACTCCGGTCCCTGAAGCCTCTCTCCTACCATGGCGTCCTCACTTCCTATACACTGCGTATAGAATGTGATGAGTCAAGGATCCGTAGATCGCTGCAGGGGAATGGGGGAGAGGCTGGAAGGACCGGTCTTAAGGTGCCCATACACCTTACGATTATCGTACGCGATCGTGTTTTCGTCTGATAATCGCAAGGTGTATGGGCAGTGTACAATCGTACGACTTTTGACTTTCAAGCATGTTTGAAAACTTTGGTCGATTGTACGATTATTTCAAGGTTAGTGACGTTTCCGTACATCAAAAATCGTACGAGCTACACTGCTCATGCGCAAACAAATACGTGCGGTTGATTACCGCAATTCGTCCAGGTGCTTTTCTTACGGCTAATTGAACCTTGCGATTAGCCGTAATGGGGCCACCGTACGACAATCGTACGACGGTTTCATCATCTGACGAAAAGCGTTGTCCGATAATCGTAAGGTGTATGACCACCTTAAGAGCCAGGTGCCTCGAAGGATCAGATGAGTATAACTTTTTTTTAATAGCACCTACTATTACCGTGTTTCCCCGAAAATAAGACACTGTCTTATATTTTTTTGGGCTCAAAAAAACACACTAGGTCTTATTTTCGGGGTAGGTGTTATTTTTTGTTAATGTACAACAATCCACATTTATTCATGTACAAAAATAGGGTGATCTGGGCAATCAGGGGTAAGAGCAATTTGGTAACCAATCGCTCTCCAGACTGAGCGAAGCGCACTTTCACTATCGATTCCTCACAGGCAGAGTGCATTTGGTATCACTCCGCCTGTGACAGGAGCCGGCGCTATAGAGGAGGGTTCGGCTTATGCGGCCCTGCTCCCTCCGGTACCGCCTTGCTTCCCCTAGCGCTGGCTTCGTTGGCACCGCTAATTATCTCCTGCGGCTCTTCAAGTTCCCCCTTAGGCCACCACCGGCCCTGGGAATGGTCACAACTAGGTCTTATTTTTGGGGTAGGTCTTATATTTTAACAATTCCCAAAAATAGTACTAGGTCTTATTTTTGGGGTAGGTCTTATTTTCGGGGAAACAGGGTAGGGTTAAAAACTTTTTTGTCCAGAGTACTACTTTAAATGTTGCTGGCTGAGTGCTTAACAGCATGGGATCTCCAGCACAGACTTAGCCCTTATTCACATGGGCGCAATGGGGCGGTAAAACCAGGCAGTTGATCTGTGGTTTTACTGCCCCGTTGTCACCTGCTGCATTGTCAGCACTGCAGCCGAACAGTGCTGTATACATTGTCGCAGGTGCAAAGCTTTGTGTTGTGGTGCAGCAAAAAAATAGACCGTATGCTGTGCCGCTTATCAAATGCGATCATTGCAATAAATAGGGTCGCGCCACAACAGCGTACCCAGTTGCAAGCAATTACAATAGAAAACATCCAATAGGAATAAAAAAAAAAACCAAAAACAAACACCTACGTTTAGGAGGTGTAAACTCGGCCTAACCGAATTTTTTATGTTCTACCATTTTGTTAGTGTAAGTGTTTCGTTATGAATGTGTGAAGAAGATATTCTTGTTCTAGGACCTCAGCAGGTGTTTTTATATCTTTTTAGTTTCCATTATTTTGGGCAGTGTTTTTTGGGTGGATCTTGGGGCCCGTTCAGACCATATGCATTGAGCGGTGCTGGGCAGCCCTGTCTAACAACGCTCCAACACATAAGGGGTCATTTATATATCTTCCACCACCATTTGCACCTCAGTAGCGCCTCTAGATGGGGTGGATACGTATAGGAATTTTCTGTATTCGTCAATGCCATGTAGAGTTGCTAGTGCTGCTTAAAGGTATCTTTTATAAATAAACCCCATAGACAAGGCAAATGTTCTTATGTCCCGTTCAGTTCATGCCACTGCAGTGCAGGCCACACAGCACTTTTTTTCCACTGCAGCCACATAGCAATGCACTGCAATGAATATTTATGAATTAAATGTCATTCATGCAAATGAAAAATAACCTGCATCATTTACAATGCTTCACGGTCTACAGCACTTTAGAGTGCGACCTCTGTAAACTTCCTATAACTAGTTACGTGTTCAGTCTATTTGCCTGCCCGGTCACAGAGATAAAATGATGTTATATAGCATCATCTCCTTATCAGATTCCATCGACGGGTGGCATTGCTGTTGCAAATTAAATCTTCATCCCCAGTCCGAAAAATATTTGGGAAAGTGATCCCACGTGGATGATTCAGTAGCCTGAGGACGATTTCTGTTTAAAGCTGTATATAATATGTTGTTCAGCTGTATATAAATGAAAAATGTTTCCTATATTTTACATTGCTGCCAATAGTATTGGATATGGTGCCAGGCACTTGGAGCTGGAGAGGGAGGTGTTTAGGCAACGTACAGGAGAATAGCTCCGTACTGTAATGTTCTCTTTTCATAGTCCATTGACCAGGTAAATGACACACAATGTGGTATGTACTTCCTGGCAATTCAGTTTAACAAGAGTGGCTGAACAGGCTCACACATATTTTGGCAGGTACACTGTTCACATGGGTATGTCAGCTATTTTAACTATGCATCGTTTGTCTCTTTCCCCTTTTCTTTCTTTACTCTCCTTGCCATGCAAGAGCATATAATTTGCTGAGCTGCACCTGACATATTTTATGTCTCTGCCCTCCCACTCCTCTATATTATGCTGACGTGATAGGACAGCATGGAAGGTTTGCATAGTATAGATCAGATCCTTTTAGCTGGTTTAGAATTTCTCAGCTGTGATATGCAAAGATGGAGCAGTGTTCACACAGAAAATGTCAACTTCACCTTTTTGACAGGAACAGTAAAAGGTGTTT